GAATGGAGACGGTGGGGAAGGAGGGGGGGGGGGACGAGGAGCAAGGGCAGGACAAAGAGAGGGAAGGAGAAGAGAGCAAAAAGGGAAGATGGGCGAGGGAGGGGGGCGCAAGGGGAGAGGAAGGAGGTGGGCGAGAATACTTAAGATTAGAAGGAGGAGGGGGATGAGAAGGAGTACGGGGAGGAGGGGTGGAAGAGGGGAAAGGGGAAGAAGGGACGAGGACAACGATAACAAAGATAGCGGGGAGGGTGGGGCGGAGCGGAAGAAGGGGAGGAGGACGAGGAGGAAGAGGAGGACGAGGAGAGACATGTCGACGCAAGAGGAGCGAAGGGGGGGGGCAGGAGGGGAAGAGAGAACGGGCGAAAATGGGGACGATGCTGAGAACGGAAAAGCACAAGGGACAGGTAGGAAAGTATGGAGGTGGGAGGAGGGCTACATGCAGGAGAAGATGAAGATGAGAAGAATGAGGACGATGCGGGACGATGGAGGAAGGAGGAAAAAGGCAGGAGAGAATAGGAGGGAAAAAAAGTACGAAGAGGAACGGAACACATGGGAGGAAAGTGAGGAATACGACGGGGCTCTCACAAGTGGAAGTGGAACAACGGCGGAAGAAGGAAAGGAAGGTGGGGGGAAGACGAGGATGATGAGAGGGAGAATGCTGAAGATGAGACGGGAGCGGGGTACGAGGGAGGAGACAGGAGGGAGGACTCGCCTGCCTGATCCCCTCAGATGTGTGCGTGCCGACCCGCCCCACAAGCCGTTCCTGGGCGTCGTGGGGCAGCCTCTGCCGTGTAGCCCTGAAGGGCGCACCGAAGCAGCAGCTGAGAACGTCTGGCTCCAGCTATCTCCCGAACAGGTTGCCGCTGTTCCGCCCCAGTCCCCCCGTATGGGGGTCATGGGGCGGGCTTCGCTCTGCTTCGCCCATCTCCACCCTGGTCCCCACCCTTCGGCGGAGGTCGTGGGGCGGGCCTGGCTCGGCTTCATGCCCTGCCCTTCCTCACATGTTTCGCAACGACTGCGTGTACTGCCACTGCCTCCCCCCGTCGCGCGAACCCCTCCCAGCATTGTGAGTGACACGTCGCCCACTGCAATCGGATTGATCCAAGCATTGTACATGATATGTCACTCGACGCCTGCCTTCGCCAACGGACTACTCCGAACGATGTAGCTGATCTGTCGCTGACTTCCAGTCTTCCCGCACGATCTGCTCCCAGCGTTGCAGCCGAGATGTCGCTCAGAGCCTGCCTTCGCGCACGAGCGACTCCCGGCGCTGTAGCTGATTTGTCGCCCACTGACTGCCCTCCCGCAGGAACTAGCCCCAGCGTTGTAGCTGATGTGACGCTCACCGTCTGCCTTCTCGCGCGGGGTACTCCCAGCGTTGCTGCTGCTATGCCGCCCACGTCCTGCCACGCGGAGTATCAACAGAGATATTGCTGTCACTGCTCGGCCTTATCGCACGCACGAACTGGCCCCAACCCTGTAGCTGATGACCTTGGCCCGCGCGGGCTCTGGACCTCGAGCAATCGCCCACGTTTCCTTGTCGCATGAACTACTTGCAGCGTTGCAGCGGATCCTTCGCTTACTGCCGCCCTTCTCGCGTGAACAACTCGCAGCGTTGCACCTGGAATGTCGCCAACTGCTTGTCTGGAGCTCGGGCTTCGCCTACAGCTCCTCCTCGCACGCACGACCCCCGACGTTGTAGCTGATCTTGGCTGCTCGCTGCCCCCCTCCCGCACGAATGGGCCCTGACGCTGGTGCTGACTTGCTCTCGCACGGCTGCGCTGATCCCAGCGCCGCAGCCGAAGATTTAGGTCGCGGGTCGACGACAGAATGGCTGTCACCCAAACATTGGTGCTGCCCCGCCTTCTCGACGGCTCCCTGGCGACTGGGCCCGCGCACGGCCGCTGGCCTCCGAAGACGCTGCGCGTGCACAGCTCCCGGGGCCCTCGCCACTCTCGAAGTTGGCCCCTCGGAGCGCCCTGACCCCCGCGCGCGGGCCCCTGGGTGTGAAGTGGCTGCCGGGAGGGAGGTGGGGCAGGGAGATGAAGAGGAGGGATAAGGAGGAGGAGGAGGAGGAGGAGGAGGAGGAGGAGGAGGAGGAGGGGGAGGAGGAGGAGGAGATATGGGCAGGAGGGATGGGGAGGGGGGAGGAGGGAGGAGCAGGGTTAACGAGGAGGGAGGAGGAGTGGGGAAGAGGGGCGGGAGGAGGAGGAGGAGGAGAAGGAAGAGGAGGAGGACGTGGATGAGCAAGGGGAGGGAAGAGGTGCAGGATGCATGGACGGGGAAGGGAGAGGAGAGGAGAGGAGAGGAGAGGAGAGAGAGGGAGAAGGAATGAGGGAGGAAGAAAAGGACGGAGAAGAACAGCTCCAAGACGAGCCACACCCTGCCTCCTCTCGCCCCCACCTCTTCCTCCCACCCCCTCTTCCTTTCCTCCCTCCCCCTCACACACAGCAGCACTTTCCCGCCTCCACTCTATCATCCTGCCTCCCCCATACGTCCCGCTCCCTTCTCATCCCTGCTTCCTCCCTCCCTGCCCTCTCGTCCTCCCCACCCCTGGCCGTAATGACTCTCATAACTTTGCTTCATCCTTATCGCTCCCTTCCTCTGCCACCGCTTCCCCTGACTCCCCCCCCTCTCCCCAGCCCTCCTTTCACTCATCCATCTCCCTTCTCATCTAGAGCCACACTATTCTTCCGCTTGGCCAGAGGACCGATCCAACACTTATTCTTGTATCTCGTGATCTACCTCTCACGTGGTAATCAATCTCCAATTTCGCACATGCACTTCTCGTCCTCTTACCCAGACGCCAAGTTTACCGCCGAGCTGTACCCGTTCAACCTTACTTGGGAACTGTTCTTTTGTTTCTTGGCTGCGCCACTACTGCACCATGCAGACATCCTTCAACGGGGGAACTTGGATTCCGTGGATCCCACCAGCCCCCTGGGCGCAGGTGGTCTGGTGCGTTTCCTCTTCCGCCTCCCCTTCTTCCCCGTCGGGAAAGGGTTATCATTGTTACCCATGAGTGCAGTCGAAAACCCTAATAAGGACGCGCGACTTTGCTCAGGGTACCCTTGCGTCCTTGCTCTTCCTTGCTCTTGCGTCCTTGAGGTTTTCGTCGTCCGCCGCCCCAGAAATCCCAACTTCGGTTTCCAAGGGTCTTGCGTCCTTACCGCGCGTCCTTATTAAGGTTTTTGACCGTAAGCACCCCCCCCATCCGACCGGCAACCAACCCGGACCAATGAGAATGAGGGCACCCATGCGCCCCACCCCCCGCCATCACTGCCAAGGAGCAGGGCTAAGTCACCCTGCCTCGAGACCTGGAGCACGCAGGAGCGCCCCGCGACCACTGCGCAATTGGTTCTGTCGGGGACGGCGTGGGGGCCATACAGCTGCTTGCTGCGGGGCAGGCCGACCGTCCCCGCGCGGTAGCCGTGCCTCCAAACATCTGGGAGCAGGCGCGGGCCCCCCGCGACCACTCTGCACCTGATCCGGGTCAAAAATGATCGGGTGCCACTTTGAAGGGGCCCCAGGACACACACATAACTACATACAAATAAAAGAAAAATCCCCACAGTTTCCCAGATGTTCCGGAATGCTGCCTTCCGCCCCCCCCACTTCCAATAGTTTCCCATATTTTCGGGGGAATCGACGATTAATTGTGTCTGCGTGTTTTTTCCGCTCCTGAGGAAGGCGGGTGAGAGTGAGCGAGGTGTCTTGACCCCTCCTTGCCTCCTCCCCTGGACCTGGATGGAGGTCTGGCGAGAGGTTGGAACGGTCCAGACGGCATCGGTTAAAGGCGTCAACTGCTGATTTGACTTGGATGTTGGGCCCATTAGGGCCTCCTGAAGTGGCGATGAGACGTGAAGCCCCCCCTCTTTGATCGAACTCCTCCAAGATGGCCCCAATATGACCCGAAGGGCTGTCGAGACTGCCCCAAGAGGGCCCCAAGAGGCGCCCCAAGAGGCGCCCAGGATGCCCCAAGAGATCACCAAAAGGCCCCCACCAGATCCCCAAGCGGCCCGAAGGGCCCCGCACCCCCCGGCACCCAAGACGCTCCAAGAGGCCACTGAGACCGCCCAAAGGGCCCCAAGACGCCCCAAGAGGACTCCAATAAGCTTTCAAGAGACACCTGAAGAGACTCCAAGAGGCTTCCAAGAGGTCTCTGGCGTTTTGCTTGCTCTCCTCCTCCTCCTCCTCCTCCTCCTCATCCTCCTCCTCCCTCCTCCCCCGCCTGCCCCCCTACCCCTCCTCCTCCTCCTCCTCCTTCTCCTCCTCCTCCTCCTCCTCCTCCTCCTCCTCCTCCTCCTCCGATCCCTCTTCCATCCTCTCCCTCTCCCCTGCTCCTACTCCCTGCTCCCTCTGCCCCAGGCATGAAATTCACCACATGCTCCTCCACATCTTTGGTCCAAGGCAACTCGACTCAGCATCGTTTCCGGATGGGCTGGTCTGGTTCAAGACAGAACTTCACCTTCCCTCGTTCAAGCCGACCGCCCCTATAACCAGCAGCACGGACCTTTCAGACACAACATGTGAACAACCAACAATATTAGCTGTCCAAAAGATTGGCTGAAATATTAGCTGAAACTTGTCGGGCCCAGCTGGAACTTGAATGACAGCACTGTTCGCTTCAACACAAGACTTGAATGTTACCCTTGCAAGCCGCCCAGAGGACCATCAGCACGGATCGCTAAACACACAACATATTAAACAAACATTAGCTCGACCCTTCCGAGCCCCAACTGGAGCTGGTAGAACGATTACCTGGCTAATTGGTTGAACGGTCACACGGCTAACTGGTAGAACTGTCATCAGACTAAGTTGTAGAGCGGTCGCCAGGCAAAGTGATAGAACCGTTACCCGTAGGGGTGGCACGACTGTAAGTTGTAGAAAGGTTTCTCCAGCGATTTGGTGGAAGAGACGACCTGGGTGGTATAACAGTTCGGTTTTCTCTCATCTCCCCTCCCCGTCCCTCTTCCCCCCTTTTCTTGGCCTCTCCAACTCTCCCCCTGTTGCCTCGATGCGGGCACCAGAAGTGCGAGGCTGTTGCTCCTCTTCTGGTGTCCTGCGGCCCCTCTCAAGGAGGAGCGCCCCCAGCAATTCAAACCGACGGAGGGAAGGCACCAACTGTGCCCTGGATTGTCGCTGGGGAGAGCGATGCCGTTGCCCTCTCTGCGTATGTGCTGCAGGTCTATCGCAAGTCGGGGGACGCCATCTGACCACCGATCGTGGCCAGGCCGATCCTGTAGTCTCGCCTGCCTGCATTTACCACGGACGGACATACTCCGTTCGCAGGCCCACGGTGGGCCCATGATCGCTGAGGTGGTCATTTGACGTGCCTCGAGAACACAGAGCCTCCCGAACAGGAAAGCGACCACCTTTGCAGAAAACTCCTCTCGGAGGAGAACCGCCAGCTAATTCAAAAGCGTGCGCCCGTCGCTTCGGGGACCAACTCCACTACAATCAACCGCACATTTGGACGCCCGAAATGGGCACGGAAAGAATGGGTACAATGCCCAACAACGATTGTTGTCCCAAACCAACAGCGGCCGCTGTTGGGCAAGCGGCCTTCTGTCTCAAATGGACACAGGCCGCGGCGGCGCGGACAGCGAGTCCTGTTCAAAATGAACAGGGACTGCTGTTGGGCATCGTACCCATTATTTCAGTGCCCATTCCGTTCGTGCCGAGCACACAAGGTAGATCGGCGCCGGAGGCGCCGACAAGGGCAAATGAGATTTGCCAGCTAGTTTAAAAAAAGGCGTGCGTCCGTCGCTTCGGCGCAAAAGGGTCCGCCGCCGCGCTTTGCGGCACGGCAGGCGCGCATCCCGCGCCGCAGGGCCAACGATTCAACAGCTTCAGCTTCCCCTCCTCCTCCTCCTCCTCCTCCTCCTCCTCCTCCTCGTCCTCGCCCACGTCCTCCATCTCCCAATCCCTCCCTCCCTCCCCGCCTCCTTCTCCCCGCCTCCTCGCCAAGCAGCAGCTCGGGCCCGACGAGGAAGCTTTGAACAATTGTGCCCTCGAAGCGGCCGTCCTTGCCCCCGTGCTCCCGCTCAGGAACCCACACTCACTCTACGGAGCCTCCAGCGGACGCAGACCCAGAGCCCCCTTGGCTCCCGAGGACTGCCAGCAGGCGTCCAGGGGCGCTCCCAGACCCCTCGATGGGCACCTACCTCCCCAAATCACACTCAAAAAGAGGCGGGGGGGGGGTCGGTAGTGGCCGAGGACTGGACCACGACGACGGGGTCCACGCTGGCCAAGGCCGCTGCCTGGTCCCGGCTCTTTCCCGAGACCGCTCTCCCTCCACCCCGGAGCGCCACAATAAGGCCCCAGCTGGGCCCCACATCACGGTCTCTGCACGATGCCTCCCGGTCGCAGTAGCCTTCTTCCAGAGGGGGGGGGGCATCAGGGGGAGGGGGGGGGACAACACACGCGTGCACGAAGCGCATGCTTTGAATGGACATCGGTCTGCCTTCCACCCGTCTTACCTGAAATCCTACGTTGCGGAGAAGTTGCGGCATTGCGAAAAATAGCGAGCACAACACTAGACCCAAACCTCCTGCGGCATTCTTCGAGCCAAATCGATCTGTGGTGGTCCCGGGGATCGAAGCTGGGCGAAAAAGACCGGCGCGAAAAGATTGCAACGCCTTTGCCCAGAGGGGCGCCCAGCAGTCCAACCACATTCCTCGGGGCTGTTTCCCTTTAGTCTCTGGGCTTGCATGGTGGAGATGGTGCATGGTGGAGATGGGGGGGGTATGGCGAGGCCCGAAAAGAAATCAGGGCTTCACGCCAGTCGGGACTCACTTGCACGCCGTTTCGGCCCAGACCTGTTTGAAAAGACGGCGGAGAGGAGCCTGCATTTTGACCAGTCATCCTGTACAGAAACAGCTCCCCGCGTCCTCCTCCTCCTTGTCCTCCTCCTCCTTCCCCCCCCTCCCGTCCCTGCAGCTCCCCTCCGAAAATAATCATCAAGAACATCATCATCATCATCATCATCATCATCATCATCATCATCATCATCATCATCATCATCATCATCATCATCATCATCATCATCATTTTCATCATCAGCAGCAGCAGCAACATCAACATCATCACCACCGCCACCACCATCATCATCATCATCATCATCATCATCATCATCATCATCATTATCATCATCACCATCATCATCGCCATCATCATCACCATCATGAGCATCATCATGAGCATCATCATCACCATCAGCATCACCAGTAGCAGCAGCATCGCAACCATCACCATCATCACAATCATGCTCATCCTCAACATCATTCACATCATCATACTCATTCTTCAGCATAATGGTCATCATGATCATCATCGTCAGCAGCATCATCACCATAATCATCATCATCAACAGCGTCATCAGCATCACCATCATCGTCATCGCCATCGGCGTCGCCGTCATCATCGTCATCGATATAATCATTGCCATCGTCATTATCATCGTCACGATCATCCGCATCATCATTAACAGCATTATTATCATCATCGTCATTATCATCAGCATCACCATAATCGTCATCATCACCAGCATCAGCAACATCACCATCATCAACAACCTTATTATCATAATCATCATCATCATCATCATAATGATCATCACCATCACCATCATCATCATCATCATCCGCATCATCAGCATTAGCATCACCAGTATCATCATCATCATCATCGTCATCATCATCATCATCATCATCATCATCATCATCATCATCATCATCGTCATCGTCATCGTCATCGTCATCGTCATCACCATCATCATCATCATCAGCATCGCCATCGTCATCATCATCGTCATCGTGATTATCATCACCACCACACCGCCGTGCTGGCTCGCGAGACGGGCCGCTCAAGACTTCCGACACAGGGAGCACCGCCCGGACGGTGCCCTGTGCCCTCGCTCCCCCGCCGCGGGATGCTGCTGCGCCGCTGGTGACGCGCGCCGCCCTCACACGCTCCATGGTCCCGTAGGGAGCCCAACAGAAGGCCCCAATGGCAGAGTTCGCATGGCATGCCCGCGCGCGATCCCGCACACCACCCACACGCTTCGTGGCCCCGTGGAGAGCTCCAGCGAAGGTTCCAGCAGCCGGGTCCGCATGGCGTACCCGCACCCGATTTGGCACACCCCTCGCGCGATTCGTGGCCCCAAGGGGAGCTCCACCGAAGGCATCAGCAGTGGGGCCCGCATGGCGCACCCACACCTGACTTTTGGCACACCCACGCGTCAAGGAGTGCCATGGAAGGCCTCTGTGGCAAGGTCCGCATGGCATGCCCACCCCATGTCGGCACACGCCTCACTGCTCACTCCCTCCTTCTTCTTCTTCTTCTTCTTCTAACTTGCCTCGCGGTACTCGCAACCTCCTATGGCTGGGCCCTGCGGTGGGATGTGTTTCCTCAAACCTCATGCGTGTTGGGTCGTATCTTTGAACTCGGAGCGCCGCGCCCCACCTCTTCCTCCTCCTCCTCCTCCTCCTCCTCCTCTTTCCTCCTCCTCCTCCTCTTTCTCCTCCTCATCCTCCTCCTCCCCCTCATTCTCATCGTCAACATCATCATCTTAATGCTCCTTACCATCACAAGCATCGTCATCACCGCTTTGCAGCACCCCTCAAATGCTTTGCGGCCCCAAAGAAAAGCTCCACCGAATGAGCCAACAGCTCAGTCCGCATGGCGCCACCCCGCACATGTCGGCACACCCCTCACCCGTTTCGCGGCCCCAAAGGAGCTCCACAGAAGGCCCCAGTGGCTGTGTTCATATGGTGACCCGCTCGCTCCATTTCGGCACATCCCTCACACCGTCCGTGGCCCCACACGGAGCTTCAACGAATGCCCCAGTGGATGGGTCCATATGGTGACCCGCTCCATGTCGGCGCACCCCTCACACGCTTTGTGGTCCAATTTCGTGGTCGCGCAGGACGCTCCACCGAAGGTGCCCACGGCTGGGTTCACATGGTGACCCGCCCCACTTCGGCAGACACCTTTACACACTTCGTGGCCTCATATTTGGACGCCCGAAATGGGTACGGAAAGAATGGGCACTATGCCCAACAACAAATGTTGTCCCAAGCCAACAGCGGCCGCTGTTGGGCAGGCGGCCTTCTGTCTCGAATGGACACAGGCCGCGGCGGCGTGGACAGCGAATCCTGTTCAAAATGAACAGGAATTGTTGTTGGGCATTGTACCCATTCTTTCAGTACCCATTTCGGGCGTCCAGATCATAGGGAGCTCCACAGAAGGCTCCCACGGCTGGGTTCATCTCCGGCAGACCCCGCACGATGTTCGTGGCCCCATGGTGAGCTCCGCCGACAGCCCTGGTGGCTGGGATTCTCCTGGTGCCACGCTCCATCTCGGCAGACCGCTCACGCCTTCCGTGGCTCCACAGGGAGCTCCACCGAGGGCCCCGGCGGCTGGGCTCCTATGATGCGCCGCTGGGGCCGCCCCGTTTCGGCAGACCCCCCACACGTTTCGTGACCCAATAAGCCCTGCGTTCGCATGGTGCCGCTCCCCAATGCGGCTAGCCCGAGGGCACCCGTGAGAGCGTCTGCATTGACCTTCGCTTCGATGTTGGGGCGATGTTTGGAGTTGCAGCTAGGAAGTTCGATCTTCAAAACTCGATCGTAAAGTTCGAACTTCGAAATGTTAGGTCCAGCCCTCCGAAGATCGCCAGAGGCTTCTGGTCCCCCAGAGACCTCCAAGGACAAAGGGTGGGGAGGATGGAGAAGGAGGGGGAGAGGAGCGAGGAGTAGCCGAGGAGGAGGAGTCGAGGAGGAAGACGACCGTGGTCAGGTCACAGCGGTTGTCCTTCGGACCCGCAGGAACACCAGCCGACTGCCAGCGGTCTTGTTAGCCTTCTCCTGCCTTTCGAGCTCGCTTTCTCATGCTTCCTTCTGTGCCGCGGTAAGCCTTCGGACTCGCTCTCGACCTCCGCCAAGCAACCCTTTGGGCCCGCCCTCCATCTTCCAGCGTGCGGACTCGCAGTCGACGGCCCGCGGTCCTGTCGACAGCTTCCGAGCGTTTAGCAAACAGCGACGTTCCTCGCCAGTGCATCTTTAGCTGTTCGGGCATCTTTGCGGGTCCCGGTCGCTGCCCAGGGGAGGGGGGAACAGGTTCGGGCTCCGGGTGGCGGCAGCGATGGAGCGGGGATGGGGCACATCGGGGCGGGGGCCGCCCAAGCACACGTCGTTCAGTTCTGGTCGTGCCCACCTCTCTCAGTGTGCTCCTCTCCCCCACTGCTCCTGGCCCCCCCCCCCCAGGCGGCCAGGCAGAGGCCCAGGCTAGAGCAGTTGGCGAGGACAGGATCCAGGGCCCCAGAAGAACTCTCGAAGGACCCCGGGCCTAGGCTCCTGGCCCCAGAGGAAAGGCCCCACTAGCTAGGCAGGAAAGGATCCCAGAGAGGAAAGGATCCTAGGTCAGATGAGGCCCATTAGGCCCCCTAGAGAGGAAAGGCTCCTGGCCCCAGTAGTTAGGTAGACCACAAACTCAAAGGAACTGTCGAAGGGAGCAGACGGGACCACCACGGTACGGTGGGTGTAGGCTGCAGCGAACACCCGCGGTGCGGGGGGGCGGGGTCTGGGCCCCCCCCCCCCCGGCCCTGCGTGGGAGCGTCTCCGTGGCTGTCCGGGGTTCTGACCCAGGCGGCGACCGTGACGCGCCAGAGGATGCTCCTTCCTCCCTCCTCCTCCTCCTCCTCCGCCTCCTCCTCCTTCCTCCTCCCAGTGCTCCTCCTTCCTCCTCCTCCTCCTCCTCCTCCTCCTCCTCCTCCTCCTCCTCCTCCTCCCAGCTCCTCCTTCCTCCTCCTCCTCCTCCTCCCCTCCTCCTCCTCCTCCTGCTCCTCCTTCCTCCTCCTTCCTCCTCCTCCTCCTCCTCCTCCTCCTTCTCCTCCCAGTGCTCCTCCTTCCTCCTCCTCCTCCTCCTCCTTCTCCTCCGCCTTCTCCTTCTCCTCCCAGTGCTCCTCCTTCCTCCTCCTCCTCCTCCTCCTCCTCCTCCGAAAAGCGATCTTCCCAGATGCGGGCATTGCAGCAAAGCCAGAGCAAAGAACCCCAAAGTGGCAATCCTGGTGGCCATCCTGAAAGCATCCCTCAATGGGTACCCAGTTCGGTGCCGCCGAATCCTCGTGGGCCCCAGAAAACAGCAGGGCCGTAGTCTTACCGTTTGCAAAATAAGCAATCTCTTCGCCATGAAGACAGCAAGAACAACTTCACCGAAACGGTGAAACACTGTTCACCGAAACGGCCTTCGCAGTCCGGGACTGCGGATGATATTCGGGATCGATTTCGAAACGGATCGGATCTGGCAGAAAAGCGGTGATCTGGACAAGGTCCCGCCGATGAAAGCGAAAAGGTAAAACAACGGCGCTGGAAACGTCAACAGAAACTGCGCCAGAAACATTCTAAAAACATACGGTGGGGGCATTGGGCAAGGAACCCTTAGATAATGAATCCAGGGTCTGGAAGCTGGTAGAACTCGAATCGTGGATCGGCCGCGGAGATTATCGCCGCTCTCATCAGATAAGGAACCCTCCAGGGTCTGAAGCCTCCAGGGCACATTTCTTGACGAACGCCCCCACTGTACAACAAGTAAGACGGACAAACAACGGCCCTGCCGAACTCCCTCAAGGTCCCGAGAGGTTCCCCGAGGTGGCCCTGGACCCCAACCCTAGATCTGGGCGCTGCAACTGTCTCACACCAGGCGTTTTCGCCAAATTTCGTACCGCGGGATCATGATATAGCGATCTGGCTCAACAAATGCAGCGGAAAAAAGATGGAGTCCAGGGCTTCAGTCGTGATTTTCGCGAAATTGTCATTGTTTCGCGACGTCGGATCTCAGGGAAGAGGTCCCCGCGCGAAAGGCCCTTCTAGCAGGCCACCCAGACGGCGCCCCATGCAAGAGGAACCAAGAAACAGCACACAAGCATAAGCTTTCGGAGCTCCGCGCGGATCTTCTGGATTGTTGCTGGACCCCCTCCCTCGCGCGCGGAGAGCGCCAGGGGCGGTGCCAGAGGCTCAGCGCCGACCGAATAGATGCCAAAGTCAAGAGGAGGAGGAGGCGGAGGAGGAGGAGGAGAAGGAGGAGGAGGAGAAAAGAAGGAGGAGGAGGAGGAGGAAGAGGAGTGAGGAGGTCAGGACCTTCTGCTTAGCGCGTGGCGGCAGCGGCACCGGCGGGGCGGCATGCTGTGCGCCCTGCAAGCTGGTGGCGTATCGCTCCGCTGCACAGGCGCCAGGAGGCGGTATTCCAGATTTCGTAATAAAGGAGGGGGGTCTCATTTCGGGGGGGGTCTTTTCCAAGCTATCTTGGAGGGCCTGGGGGGTCTGGGGACGATGTTTTGGAGGGTTCTCCCACGGGGGGGGTCTGAAATGGCTTGTCTTGGAGGGTCCAGACCCCCTCCCTTTTATTACGAAATCTGGAGTACTAGTTTCGCGTATGTTTGGCCATTCTTGATTTTTTCGTCCAAAATCCCTTTGTAGGGGGACACGCCCGACCTAAGGCTCGGGACGCTGAACGCCTGGGAATGGGAAAGCGGTTTGCGCCCCGCGCCGAAGTGCGGTGGGCCAGAACCAGCGGAACGGCACGCGAAGACAAGATTCCCGACGATGTGCCATTGAATCTTCTTGGGCAACACAGCGGCCCCACAGGCCCAGGCGGGGCTCCCACGAAGCAACGCGCCAGCCATGCGGCACTGCAGGCAAGCCGCCCTGCATCATTGCTGCACAGCTTCCCCGAGCGCCGTGCCGGATGCGCGCGTCAGCCCGGCCAGATCCACCACCGTGCCCTCGCCGCACGAGTTGGGGTATCCTCGGGTCCCTCGTAGGGCCTGGGGGACCCCCGTCCTCAATCCTGCGGATGATGTAGAGGGGCCCAGACCCCAAATTGCCAAATCTCTTGGAGTTCCTGGCGTGCCCCCCGGGGTCCAGGGCGTCTTGTCCTACGCCTTCTTGGGGTCCAAGAAGGCCCCAAGACGGGCCAAGAGGGTCCCAAGAGGCAAACAAAAAAGTTCAAGAGGGCCCCGAATCGCCGAAATATCGCTCCATGACGCCCAAGATGGTTTCAAGACGATCCAAGATGCCCCCAATACGCCCGAGGAGGCCTCCAAGAAACCTCCCGAGAAGACCCCAAGAGGCAAACATACTCGATTTTCCAACGGTGTTTCAAAGATTTTGGCGTTCTCGCCTTTGGCGTTTCCCGACGCTCCAGGCCCAAGAGGCCCCAAAGGTCGGCCCAAAGGGCCTCCAAGAGGGCCTCCAAAAGGCCTCCAAAAGGCCTCCAAGAGAGCTCCAGAACGGCCCAAGAGGCGCCCAAGACGGCCCACGAGGCCTACAAGACGGCCCAAAAAGGCCTCCAAGACCCGAACGGACATTTCGAGCCCTCGGCCCCAGGAGGCCCCCAGGAGGCCCCAAGAGGCCCCCAAGAGGCCGCCAAGAGGCTCCGCGAGGCTCCCAAGAGGCCCCCCGGAAGCCCTGAGAAGCCCTCAAGAGGCCTCCAGGAGACCGCCAAGAGGCTCCCAAGATGCTCCAAAGCTGCCCCCAAGAGGCACCCGAGAGCGCTCCGAAGCGACCACAAGAAGCATCCCTGAGGACTCGGACCCGCAACACAGGCACGGTGACGGGATGGGCCGAAGGCCATTCGATCCGCCGCCCCCTGTTGATGTATCACATGGGGGGCTGGCGTGCCGATTTGTTGGCTGGCTTGGGTGATAGAAAAACTCCCCCCTGGGGCTTCGGCCCAACCCGCTGGCCACCCGGAAAGCTCGCCCAGACTGGTCTCCCATCGGCTTTTCCGATTGAGCTGGCCAAGACAGCCACGATGCCCTGCCGGACGGCCAAGATGGCCCCAAGAGAGACCAAGATGACCCCAAGATGGCCTCCAAGATGGTCCGACGATGCCTCCAAGACCGCCCTGATGGTCCCAAAGAGCCCCATTCAGACGGCCCAGGACGGCCCAAGAGGCTCCCAAGATTGCCCCAAGATTGCCCCAAGATCGCCAAAGAGGCCTCCAAGATGCCACCAGGACGGCCCAAGACGGCCCCGAAAGGGCCACAGGACGGCCCAAGAGGCCTCCAAGAAGCCCAAGATGGTCTTCGCCCCTGAAGCGCCCAGGAGGGCCCCAAGATGGCCCAAAGAGGCTTTCAAGTCATCTTCCAACGGCGTCAGACGGTCGAGGAACGCTGCAAGACAGTCAACAAGGCCACTAAGAAGCCCCCCAAGGCCCCCAAGACGCGAAAGGAGGCCCCCCAAAGGCCTCCAGTAGGCCTCCAAGCGGCCCACAGGAAGCTTCCAGGAGGCCCCAAGAATGACAACAGAAGCTCCCATGAGGTCTCCTCATCCTTCTCTCTTTCCTCCTTTTTCACCCCTCCCCGCATCCTCATCTTCATCCCCCACGTGTTCCCCGAAGGACTTGCACAACGGCTGGGGGAACGCATGGTCCAATAGCGTGGGCAAACTTTGCCCAAACGTTTGGCCGCAGAAGCACATCCTAAACGGCAGGGGGCGGCGGTGATTCGCCGTAGACGTCTTCGATATAGCTAATTACCACATGCCCGCTGGACTCATGGCGGGATGCGGCAAGCTCGGGAGCGGAGCGAGGCGACAGGACATGATGGCGAAGAGCGCGAAAGAGAGGACATCTGCAGCGGGAACCGAAGCAGACAATCAAGCAGTCAAGCGCAACACGGAGAGCACGCAAAGCAGTCGCAAACACACAGTAAGCAAAGCAAGCGACGCAAGCCAGACAGACACAGAGAACACATGAAGCAGCGCGAGCAAGACGAGCAGTGCAAGCAACGCAGGCACAACAGACGTTGCAAACGAAGCCTACCAGACAAGCAGAGCAAGTAAGCAAGGGGAAGCAAGCCAGTTCGCACGTGACTCCTGCTACCTGCTCCGCTCTTTTTCATCCCCTCCTCCTCCTCGTCGCCTTCCTTCATCACACATCCCCCCTCCCCTTCCCCCAATTCCTTGCCTACCTCCCTCCCCTCTGAGGACTACTGCGAAACCGCGCTGATGTTAGGAGCGCGGGGAGCAGGAGAGTGGAGGACGAGGATAGGGGTGGAATGAGGACAGGGGGAAGGGTAAACGCAAGGCCTGTAGCACCGTCGGTGGCACTCCATCTCACCCTCCTCCGTCTCCTCTCTCCCGCCGCTCCTCCTCGACCCGCAACTCCTGGTGATGCCTCCACCTCCTCTCATCTATCCACCTCCACCTTCACCTCCTCGTCCTCCTCGTCCTCCTCGTCCTCCTCGTCCTCCTCCTCCTCCCTCCTCCTCGTTCTTATCCCTCTCCCTCGCTCCCTCCATTCTTTCCTCCCTCCCACTTGTCCTTTCCCCGCCTCCACATACTCCCCCCTTGCCCCCTGGTTCCTTACGGCTCCCCCGAAGAAATACTGCACCGATGAGGAGGCAAATGGAGGATGAGCATGACGGAGAGAATCCGAGGATGGCCGAGTAAGACAGCGGCGTGATGGCAAGTCCAGGGTTCTCTTCTGAACCCGTTGTGCGCAGCTCGGCCGCCGACTGGGGTCAGAAAGGAACCCTGCTGGAAGGGAGGAGTCGACATTGTTAGATTCTTCTTGTAATGTCTGACAGCTCCGGGGGCCTCCGAGGAACGAGCTCTCAGGGTCCTGGGTCTTTCGGAGAGCTCAAGCGATCTTCTGGCAGCGACGGGGGCGTGTGGGAAGGACGCCCAGGCAGCAACGGCACGACACGACGACGTCCTGCCAGAGGGCGAAGGCGGCAGAGACAGGACGAAGGCCTGCAGAGAGGAATGGACGAACACCTCCCTGCTGCTGCTGCTGCTGCTGCTGCTGCTGCTGCTGCTGCTCCGCCTCCTCCTCCTCCTCCGCCTCCTCCTCCTCTTCTGCAACCTCCACCTCCACCTCCTCGTCCTCCTCGTCCTCCTCGTCCTCCTCCTCCTCCTCCTCCTCCCTCCGCCTCGTTCTTATCCTTCTCCCTCGCTCCCTCCATTCTTTCCTCCCTCCCACTTGTCCTTTCCCCGCCTCCACATACTCCCCCCTTGCCCCCTGGTTCCTTACGGCTCCCCCGAAGAAATACTGCACCACCGCACTGCAAAACCAGATGAGGAGGCAAATGGAGGATGAGCATGACGGAGAGAATCCGAGGATGGCCGAGTAAGACAGCGGCGTGATGGCAAGTCCAGGGTTCTCTTCTGAACCCGTTGTGCGCAGCTCGGCCGCCGACTGGGGTCAGAAAGGAACCCTGCTGGAAGGGAGGAGTCGACATTGTTAGATTCTTCTTGTAATGTTTGACAGCTCTGGGGGCCTCCGAGGAACGAGCTCTCAGGGTCCTGGGTCTTTCGGAGAGCTCAAACGGTTTTCTGGCAGCGACGGGGGCGTGTGGGAAGGACGCCCTGGCAGCAACGGCACGACACGACGACGTCCTGCCAGAGGGCGAAGGCGGCAGAGACAGGACGAAGGCCTGCAGAGAGGACTGGACGAACACCTCCCTGCTGCTGCTGCTGCTGCTGTTGCTGCTGCTCCGCCTCCTCCTCCTCCTCCTCCGCCTCCTCCTCCTCAACTGCAGCCTCCTCCTCGTCCTCCTCGTCCTCCTCGTCCTCCTCGTCCTCCTCGTCGTCCCCCTCCTCCTCCTCCTCCTCCTCCTCCTCCTCCTCCTCCTCCTCCTCCTCCTGCTCCTCCTCCGCCTACTCCTCCTCCTCCTCCTCCTCCCCTTCCTCCTCGTTGATCGGGAGTCAACGCACTTCCCCGCCTTCCCTCAAAGCTCAAACGAGATGGTTCGCCTGAGAGCGACGCGCAAGAGGCGGCCGCTCCCAGAGGGGGAGGGGGCGCGCCGGCCAGAGCCTATAGCCTGGGCGTACAGCGCCGCGGGGACCAGCACGACTGGGCAGCCGGCCGCGAGCACGGCCCGGCGCTCCAGGCCGCCACGCCGGCCGCCGCCCCCCAGCGCGTCCCGCAGCAGCAACGCCCCCAGCAGCGTGCCGCCTCGGCCTCGCCACGGCCGCGGTCGCTCGCGCGCCGCGCCAGCCCAGTCTTTAGGCGCGCCCCTGGCGCCTTGCTCCAGCAGCCCCGCGCAGTAGCCGGCGCCCCAGCGCCCGCCGCAGCCGCCCCGTCAGTCGGTGCCCGGCCCCGCGACAAGAGCCGTGTCAGCACGCTGCCACCAAAACGAGGCAGAGGAGAACGTGATCGGATGATGGGGAGGAGGTGAAGAATCAGAGCACAACTGCTTGAGAATGCGGCGGCCTTCTTCGCACTCCTCATACTCATCTGCATACTCTCATCCTTATGTTCATCCCGTCCTCCCCCTGCTCCTCCTTCTTTTCCAAGTGTCCCCTCGCCGCTCATCGTCCCATCCCTACACCTCCTCCTCCTCCTCCTCCTCCCGTGGGATATTGCATCGCCGTAAAAGTAGCATAATAACAAACCTGGCGAGAGATCGGGGGGGAGATGGCGGAGGACAGGAACAAGAGGGAGGAAAACCGATAATTACAGAAAATGGGGAAGCGGGGGGGGAAGGAAAATGGAAGAAGAGGAAAGAGAGGTGGAAGGCGAAGCAGACGGGCAGCATGATCCGCCGACCCCAGAGGCGTGTGAGGGAAAGTGACCAACATTGACCAACACAGTTTCTCGCCCACCACCCATCTTCGCCCTGGCAGAGCTCAGCTCTTCGGACCCCCTACACGACGATTTCTCGCCCGAAACCTCCGACACCTCCCACCGCGCCCCCCGCCACGCCCGGGCACCCCACTCCACGGGAGCTCAATTCTTCGGACCCCCCAAACGACAATTTCTCGCCCGAAACCTACCGACACCCCCCACCGCGTTCCCCACCACGCCCCGGCATCCTACCCCACGGGAGCTCCGTTCTTCGGACCCCGCGCACGACCATTTCTCGCCCGAAACCTACCGACACCCCCCACCGCGCCCCCCACCACGCCCCGGCACCCCACCCCACGGGAGCTCAGGTCTTCGAACCCCCCACACGACAATTTCTCGCCCGAAACCTACCAACACCCCCCCACCGCGCCCCCCACCACGCTCCGGCACCCCACCCCGCGGGAGCCCAGTTCTCCGGACCCCCCACACGACAATGTGTCGCCCTCAGTTCGGACCCCCCACGCGAAAATTTCTCGCCCGAAACCTACCGAACCCCCCCACCGCGCCCCCCACCACGCCCCGGCACCCCACCCCACGGGAGCTCAGGTCTTCGGACCCCCCACATGACAATTTCTCACCCGAAACCTACCGAGACCCCCCACCGCGCCCCCCACCACGCCGCGGCACCCCACCCCACGGGAGCTCCGTTCTTCGGACCCCCCACGCGACAATTTCTCGCCCGATACCTACCGACACCCCCCACCGCGCCCCGCAACCCGTCTCGACCCCCTCACCCCACGAGAGCTTATTTGGGACTCCCCACACGACAATTTCTCACCCGAAACCTACCGACACCTGCCACCGCCCCGACAGTACAAACCGGTGCCGGCTACCTACCCCCACCCCGCCCTTCAGCACAGTCCTCCACCTCCACCCCACGAGAGTTTTGCTCTTGCGATGCGCCCCCATCCTCGGCCGCGCCACATTAATGGCCCCGACCACGCAGCGGAACCTTCTCATCCGCCCCCTCGTCCTTCTCCTCCTCCTCCTCCTCGTCCTCCTCCTCCTCCTTTTGCGCCGCCTGCGCCCGTTCCCCCATCCCGCTATCCTTCTGCTCCTCCTCTGCCGCGCCACATTGGCCAAGACCGCGCAGCGGGCCCGCAACGAGCGACGCTATGGGGCGCCCCGACGCGTCGTCGCTGGTCCGACTTTCCTTTTTTCGTCACCGATTCCGATCGGCGACCTCCTTCCTCTTACGCTCTTCGTGCCTGGAGCACTTGTTGCAGAACTGGTTCCCATTTGACTGTTTCATCGCCCGCTGGGCCAACCGGCGGCAGAAATCCACTTTCGGGAGCACGCCCTTGCAGACCATGCGTTTCCAACGTCCGCGCTGCGCCCTCGCCCCCTCGACGCAACGCTTGCGCTCGCGGTCGTCCACGTGCGATCCGAAAAGAACTCATGCCACTGACATTCCCCGCACACCGCGCAAACTACGGCATCCTTCCGCGCTTCAGTGCCCCAGTCTGCAGCTGCAGCTTCGACGCAACGCTTACGCTTGCGATGGCAATCAGCCACTTCGCCCCACCTGCGGCCCAAAAACAACTCGCGTTGCTGACGCTCCCCACACCCCGCGCAAATCTTCAAATACTTCCTAGATTCTGCGACCCGCTCTGCAGCTGCCGCGTCGACGCACGCGGCGCCCGCGCTACCGGCTCTCTGACCGCGTGGTTGAACTGGTGAATGGACAACTCTGCCTTGCTCTTCGACTCACCACACTTTGAGCATACCACCCGTTGTTCTGCCTCGGCGCGCTGCCTCTCCTCCTCTCTCACAAATTTCTGACACGTTTTGCACTTGCGCTCGTCGCTGCTCCTGTCCGCCTTGGCAAACTCGCCCGCCAGCTTCTCTGCGCCGCAGCGGGAACACTTCAAGTGCTTCTTCAGTTCCTCGTACTCTGCGCACATCCCCCCCTTACAACGACTGTTCCCTGCCAGTTCCCACTGGTACTGCGCGAACGCCTCTTCGTATTTTCGCACATCGCACACGCGGCATTGCCGTCTCTCGGGGCAGTCCGCGCAGCGCCGCGAAGTCAGCTTCGACGAGTGGTGCTGGGACGTGTGGAAGGCATCCTGGCCCTTCCAGAGACCACGCTCCATGCACTGCCACGGAATGCCAACGCTCTCTCTTCTTGCCAAGTGCGTCACACGCGGAGACTGTCGTCGCGACTCCACTGCCCGAGAGCATACTGGTTCTTGTACTTCACTGACGAGCACAGTGCGCACCCCCCTGCAGGCATAAACTCCTTCTCGATCGCATCCCAATCTATGGGATCCCCACGCAAGGACTGCAAGAGTAATCTGGGCCCCTTCCGCTCTTCTTGAGCGTGCGGCGCGCTGTCGAAATGCCGAAAGATCAACATTTTCTCGCGGCGACGCACTTAACTCGACAACGGCGACGTGCCCCCTCCAATCCTCTGGTCCACGATGACACCTTGCTTAAAGGTCTGGCCGTGTGCTGAATGGGCCGTGACTCCAAACGCTGGAGCCACGGGGAACTGCCGCCGCTTCACTTTCAGACGCGGATGCGGCCGGCCCTTGTCCACGAACCATTTTTTTTTGTGGGCTCACCGGGTGCAGGCCCGGCGTCTGCAGTCCCGGAATCGTCCAGCTGCACGGGGTCCTGGCTCCTTTGTCATCAAACCTTTATCGAAGAGGACGGAAATCACTTTCGGCGTCTTCTGCACAATGGTCTCCCCTCCCCGGGAGACGCGACCCGTTCCTTCGTCGCCATCACACACCCATGAGTGTACGGTCCCCACGCGTCCGCGGAGCAGGTACTTGTCCTGCAGTCGATATGATCGGTGAGGGCCACTGGCATTCCTTCCGCGATTGGCAAGAACCCATACAGATCCCCGCTATCCTTGGCGCGGCGTTGCAACCAGGCCATATTTGGTGTGGCAGATCCGCGACCCTCCCCCGGGAACGAAAAAGGAGATTGAGGAGAAAGGGAGACGGAGGATCATGGGATGGAGGATTCTGAGTGTTGCTAACATGCGTTCATGCCGCCAAGTGTTTTCCACAAAAAGAAAAAGGAACGAGCAAAATCCACCACCGTGCCTCTAAGCACGGAGTGGGCGAACCTCATGTCCTTTCCCAATCCGCAGAGGCTCGGGGATCAGGACCCAGACGGCCCCGCGTCATCGAAACATCACTCCAAAACGCCCAAGGTAGCGCGCTCTCCTGCAACAGCCCATCGCAAAACTGCAAGCTCTTCTGGGGTGGCCTGAGGGACCTGAGCGACTGGGTGACCTGAGTGACCTGCAAGATCAGTGCACCTGTGAGACCTGGAGACCTGCGAGAGATGTGGGACCAGTGGAACCTGTGTTTGTTGGGCGGGGGAAACGCACTGAAATGAAAATGCTTTCGTCGCGCACCTCCGAAACCGACCTGAGCAACGTCATGTCTCTATTCCGCTTACTCGCGCGTGGCGAGATGCAAAGGCGAGTAAAACCTTTGCCTTCCGTCCTGCCCCTTGTCTGCCGTGGGAGACACTCTACGATTTGAAAAACGCGAGGGATGGTGCCTGAAATCACAGACGGACTGCAAGAGAACCCCAAACGCCCCTTGAAGTGACGGGATGCTGCCTCAAAACGCACACCAAGAACGCCCAAGCTGGCCCATACAAACCAACGTTTCACACACCTAATGGCCCCGAGACCTCCCCACAAATCTCCGGAAACTCGGCCATGCCGCCTAGGCCACCCAACATTTGGGACACTGATAACACCCTTAAATCCGTGTTTGTGTGGTTTCTACTTCTCGCCCTTGCGAAGGTCAGCCGCTCCAAGAAAACCCCGCAAGGCCACAGGATCCGCCGAAGACGGCCCAACAGGCTCCTAAACGACCACAAGACGGCGCACGTGTGCCCCCGAACAACCCACCCATGAAGCCCGCCCGACATCCTCAACCGACCCGAGGAAACCCAACGAGATCCCCTCGTCTGGGGTCGGCGGCAGAGGCGGCAGCCTTTAAATATAATGAAATGAAATGAGAGGCATGAGGAAGATGGCATTTGCTACCACGAGGAAGAGACAGGAGGAAGAGCATGAGCAGCAGCATCAAGAAGGGCGGCGGAGAGGCGGGTTTGTGAAACGTGTGAGGGGGAGCGATGCGCAAATGTCTGGCGTAACTGCAACAACCTTCAAGCCGTGGTCTTTTGCAGCCCAGCTATGCTGGAGCCACCGGTTTGACACCTTAATGAAATCCCACCAGCACTCTGGGCGTGAGTGGTTTGAAGCTTTTCCTCTTCCACCCTCCCTCCTTGCCTTCGGGGAGGGCTTTACCCCTCCCCCGACCCCCTCCCCCTGGACCTGGACGGGGGTCGCACGTCCAAAAACATCGTCGACGAGAAGGCAGCAAGCATTGCTTTTACTCAATTGTTTGGCCACATGTTGGCCTCTGGGGGGGGGGAAGGCCCCAATGTACTACTGCCCTTCCTTTCGTCGATCTCGTCCAAGATGGCCTCCGAAGCTTCCAAGGGTGCCCAACGGCTGCCCTAAGATGCGCCGAGGAGGCTCAACATGCCCAAAGAATCCCCT